ATTGCCAAATCGTTTTTCTAAATTATCAGTGGTGAATTTTCCAGGCAATACATACTCAATGTCAAATTGATTAAATGAATATTCAATTATATTAAGTAGAGTCAGCGTGCTTTGATATAGAGCTGGTGTCAGGTGTCCATTATTATTCTCTAGATTATGCCATTTTTCTAACCATATCAGGAATTTTTTTTAAAATTGTACTCTATAATCATATTTATTGGTAATAGGCTTACAAAATTCGTTTCGCTTCAATTCTCCTTTTATTACACTTGTATTACTGACAATATACCACCAATTCCTGATTATTTCCAAAAAGTGTGCAGCATCATTAAACTTTAATTGTTTCATAGCAGCTATTGTTGAGTGATGGAATAAATTATCTACAAAATTTACATTTTGCCTTTCAAATGAATTTGGATGCAATGTTTTATAATTTAATTTATATGCTTTCTTAACTACAGCTTCTTTTTCCAATTGATATACAGCACGAATGTTTTCAAATTTAGCATACTGAATAATATCATTATTGTCAAAATTAGGATATACAAAAGTTTTGTCTAGGTTTTTTAAAGTAATCCAATTATTTCTGATACTCTTGAAAATATGCACAACATCATAAGTTAAATATATGTTCTTATCCGGATTATGTGGATTTGGAATAGAATAATTTTCTGATGAATCCTTTGCTAATTTCCTGAACATTGCTCTATTAATTCGGTGATTATCAGTAACAACACAAATAACTTCAAATCCACATTTTTGAACTAAATTTATCACATGTTCAACCAAAGGTGTCATTTCATCACCTGTTAGATTTGAAACTGGCAGTAATTTGATAATTTCTGTTATGTTTCCAAATGCTGAAGATAGCATGAAGGCTAAAACAGTTTTAGCCATGTCATTTTTATTTGAGGCATACCCAACAATGTTTTGTGAGCGATAGTCCAGCCTAGATGTTATATAAATTTCATCGATCATCAAAATTACAATTTTTTCTCTTGGAGCTAATTTAATTGCTATATTCGAAAGGTAGTGTTCATTATTCCTATCATTTTTTAGAGATATATCCATACTTGAGGAGATATGTTGTAAGTATCGCTTACTTGGCAAAATAAAAAATCTTTTAATTAAATTATATGTTGATGATGAGTGGTTATAAAACGTAAAAGCCATTATTATTGAAAGTGATGCATATCTGTTTTTCCTGTTTTAAATTTGTCTCAGCTGATCAGCAATAATCTCTAGATTTTTTGTATATGGAAACATAACTGAGTCATTATTAATTATGGAAATCGCTGTGTCAAGTTGTTCCAATGCATTCATGATGCAAACTTCAACAGAGTTTTTGTGTTGGTTCTCAGAAAAATAGAAAAAACATCTATTTAGCAGGTTTTCTAATTGGGACCATCTGGTAATTTTGAGATCATATGGCAAACCCCACTTCAAGTCACTAAAAGAAAGCTTACATCCTTTATGAACAACCTGAACTTCCATCTGACCATCAACTATAATCTGTATATTCAAAGTTAGGATATCATTTTCAAAATCCAATTTATAAAAATATAGCTTTCCATCAGATAATTTATTATTCCATTTCTGTGAGGCTTTAATTTTTGAAAATGAAGAATGTAATTCTTGAAAGTCTTTGATCTTATCCATATCATCGAAATTCTGGATAGCTTTTTCATGTTTCTCAATTAATTTTTGTTTTCTTTGCATTGGGTCAGTTCTTTTGGGTGCTTCAGTTTTTGAAAGATATGATGGCAAGTTTGGGAAAATGGAGGGAACAGCATTTTCTTTCAATTTTGGATATTTCAAAGGTATATTATTTTGGACTGTTCCATCCGCCAAAACTATATTTTCTGTCCTGATGATATCCGATTCTCTAAAATGACGACTGCACACAGCTGAATATTTTGAAGGTGTCCAATTTCTTCTGGGAATTGCCATAAGCCATTTGTTTTTCAGACTTTCGGTACTTGGGAAGCGAAAAGTTGAAACATAGCTTTCTGTTTTCAAAGCAGAATTATAGTTTGCATTGCATAAAGGAACACAGCAACAACGAGGCATATTGTCTGCGTCAAATACTTGATAAATGAAAAAAGAAAAATACAACCTGAATTTGCACGATTTCAATAGTTGAAATCCTTAGCGTCATGAGGCGCGAACAGCCACAGTCACACTTCTTAGTTTATTTTTAAAGCACAGAAGCACTACAACTAAACTGGTTGACAGAATAGTGTTCTAGACCAAAACCAAAAGCTAGTGTTGTCAAATAATAAAATCCAATGAGATAGAGCCATAGCCGTGACAGAAAATGAACACAACTTTCATAACGTGTGTTAATCAACAACATATCTCACAGCATTTTAAAATAAATGAGAAAGTATTATATCATCATTAACATCCGAAAAATAGCTTGACTCCGTACTTCCTACGCATCGCTGTCATTAGTTCGGCATAAGTTAGTCCCTCCGAGCTAGCTACCAACATGTATAACAAAGAACTTAATGGATCAAGTGAGCCAAACAGTCCATATAATTAGTCCATACTCCATTGTTCTCTATTAGTTTCTTCGTTGCCTTAAGTAACGGACATATGGAAATGGCGCTGAACCACACAAGTCAACGATGCCACAAGCACCAGCCACGAATTATAACTTGTTTTAAGGGCAAATGTACCGGGAAATCTATAATGTGTAAAATATGTGCTGAATTATACACTGAACTTACTGGAGTTGGGAGCGTTTAAATATTCTGCCGCCAAGAAAATGAGGTACACCCTCCCCTAGAACAACCACAAAAAAATTCTGAAAATGATCAGGTCCCTCTGAAAAATCAAAAAACGAAGAAGAGCGATCTCTATTTGTTGCGTTTTTTTGGCCTTCACGCTCTCGTGCGCAAATTTCATCAACATTCGAGAAGTACTTTCCAAGTTATAGGTGACCCTGACAGAATGACGGAAATGAGTGATATGGTTTATCGTGATGGACTTATATTACATCACTACTACATTATCTATGCTCGATGATGTCCAGTGGAGGGCTGACCGACAGACAGTCTCGGGATCCTCTCGCACCGACCAGCCGTCGGCGATCTAGCTCTCTTCTACCGCTAAACCAACGGGCTTCGCTCCTCAGAGCTGTTTTCCATGATGCCGCCGCACGATGTGCCTGCCAGACAGACCCGCCTGACTTTGGCTTCCCATTCTATAATCATATCGAGGTGTGGAACAATCTACAAAAGGAAGCTTTTCCCAGTTCTACTAACCTTATGCAGTTCAAAACTGAGATTAACAAAATTTCTTTGGATCCTCATAGCAGCCACGGTGTCCCAGCATTTAGATTTCTGCCTACGCAGCTGCTTTGGTATATAAAATAATGCAAAAAACAGTATCTTATTTTCTCGCGATTACAATACCTCCTCACCAGTACGCGTGGGAAGTAAGATCGATAAATTATGAAATAATATAAATGAGAATTCCACACCACATATTAAACCCAAAATGTTCTTGATATCTGGATCCTTTTTTACCCCGCAGATTGAACTCAGTAATGAGTGTTGTGTTGCGGCGATTAAAAATATCATTATTAGTGACAATACTTTCGTCGGACCGTATTATTTTTTAAGCCTCCTTCACACGTTCGTGTGTAACATTCACAAAACTTCTAGCGCCGTTCGCTATCCCCTGGTCTAAGTCCCTGGTAAATCCTGAATTCATATATGTATATATAGTGATATCTATTTTTACGCAAAATAAATTGGGCAGTGGATTTGGCTACTCCCACATTTTTCTCTATTTACCTAGTTGATAACTCAGAGTTCTCAATAACTGCTTGTAAACACTATTCTGAGTTTCCTCTAAAGATTCTTTTTTTTTCGAGACGTAACAGGCTCTTTGAATGAACCATATCAATTTAAATATCGAGTCAACTCTAAGAAAATGAACTTCCTTAGCTGCCTTCTTTCGGGAAATTTGTCAACATACATTTCTGCAGTATTTTTTGGATTTTTGTAGCACAAACTGTAACACGTCAGCATAGCATCTTTGACGATTATAAAGAAATATTAACAATACACAAGAATAACAATACTGGTTGTCAGATATTTACGTCAAGCCAAGCATGTGTTTGCAACGCTTACTGGGAAAAATAAAAAGAAAAACAGAGAAAACGCATTTTTCCTTATAACCAAGAAAATAAGTGTAACATGGAATACATCGTTGCGTTAGTATAAAGAAACGCTATTCGATATAGGGTATACTTTTTTTCGGATGATATAAAAAAGTAAAGTTGATGATGGTCTCTCAAAAACAGGCAGTCGGGCACAAAATTTAAAAACACCATCATAAAAAGATCCAATGTTTTGATTTTCGTTAAAATAAAGACAGAAAAAATTAAAATTACATGGCCAAATTTTAGTTTTTCCCAAATATCTCAGTACCTAAGCCAAGAAGTTTCTTAACGGCATGTAAATACGCTCCAAAGAACGCAACTTTTTCCTTATTTAACCTAAGCTGTATCTTCCATAGATGTTGAGATCCCCATGCATAGGATCCTTACTTTGGACACTCTGTATAGTTACAGATTCTCCCTTACATTTGCTCTTGAAACTTAGAGACATATGACACGGACGTATCGCTTCTAGGTCGCACTTGCCGTAAGCTACGAATTCACCCTGAAGCACACAAAATCTACTTCTGCCGCCTAATCTCTCACCCTGCCGATTTATCGAGCGGGCCAGCATAGCGGGGCCAACGTTGCCAGATGGTCGATACTTTCAGTAGGGGCAGGGAAGAATTTGTCAAATGGACTATGGACTAATTGTGTGGGCCTGTTTGGTATGAACTGATGACATCGTTGCGATAGAATTGCAGAGTTAACCTACTCAACACCGTTTTTAGAGAATATAGTGATATCTATTATACTATTATAGCTCAATACTTCAATAACTATAATAACTTTTATTCAAATTCCTTTGCGGATAAGAAACGTCAACAGGAAAAGGTCACTTTTACATTAGCAAAAGAAAAATATACATAACTAAGTTAGAATAAAATAGATTATAATAAATTATAAAATAAGTAGCCAAGAACAGTATGTTTAGAAGTATAAATAGTTGAATAGAAGAATAGAAATGGTATGCAGCAGTATTGCCTGAAAATAAGAATGACCCAACAGATTTTTCGTTTTTTTAACTGCCCCCTGTCACGGTATTAGTATTAGTATTAATACGGTAGTTCCATTTATGATTTTACAAACGGTAAGGCTGTCCTATGATGTCACAAGCCATATCTGATCATTAGGCTAAGTGAGCTCACCTTCGTCGTTTCCAGTTGTAATATATTTGTGGGTAAAACGATATCGACCACGCAAGAAAGTATATCCATCCAACTCCTAATGAAAGAGTGTCTAACTCCAGTATTTTGAAGACTGTCACTTTAATGAAAACATCTTCGACCCTGCAATAAAAAAATCATGAAGTAAGGTCACATCGAATTTATGATTTAAAAAAAACACCATTTATGTCCAACTGTCCAACTTAATGTGGCCCAAGGGCCATTTAAAAAAAATGCAGTTTGCAGGGCCGCATTATAAAATCTTTCTATACAACATTATTACTGAGTTTTAATAGGTATATACTATACTATATGGTATACATATATGTATACATGAAGCGGGCCGCAAGAAAGGAGTTCGCGGGCCGCATGAGGCCCGCGGGCCGTATGTTGGACAGCCCTGATTTATGTTATTTTTGTTCTACTGATTTCTTTGTTCATTTAGCCAAAGTACCAGGCGCAAAACATATGCAATTTGACTACTGGTCATATTTAATGAACACTCGTATAATAGTTCATGTTGTGTTGATCAACTATATAAAGAAATACGTAAACACAAACAATATACTGGGTGTTTCAAATTCGATCCTCACCATTGCTATCTCGAAAACAGTAAGAGATAAGACGTTGCTTAACTAAGTGTAAAGTTGCATATTTAGGTAGCCAATAAAATGCCGCTCGGAAAGTTTCTAAAATCGAAGTACTTCGGAGAGAGACGGAAAGAACCAAAATTTCCCTATTTCGCTACTATAAAATATGTTTGGAAGCGGTTTGCGCAGGAGGACTGACATCTTATAGATGCGTATTTCTCATTTATTTGAAGATACAGATATACATATATTGTGTTGTAGACCACAAACACTTTTTTAAGCAAACGCCTTATATTTTATTCTGTATTTAATCAGATAACCGTTCTTGTAAAGCAGTATTATTATTATTATACAGAAGAAACATAAACACGAGAATCTGATGGTATAAAAGTGTACAGTATGTCGCCTTTAAAATTTTTGAGATTGTTGAAGTTGGCATACTTTTTCATCCTCCTCTCAAAATTCAGTGGAAAACTATGCAAAATGGCAGAAGTCAAAGCCTAGGCATTTGTTCAGACAAATGGTAAAATAACTTAGCAAATGACGTTCAAGATCCTACAGTATATAACTTTTTGTTTTAGTAAGGTATTACCATACAACCAATATCTAATATAATATAGGATGCTGCACTAAAAGACATGTTTGTTATGCCACAGAATTGTACAATACCCTGTATATTTCCAAATAATTTAGGGATACCGATCTATAAGATGCCAATCTTGTTGCGCAAACCATTTTTAGATGTCTTATATAGCTCTTCTATTAAACAAATTTCCGTTTTCGTTGGGACACCTTGTATATAGAGTCTTAACATGATTTTTATTATATCGTTAAGTTCCCTTAGTACATAAAAGACGAGTTAGTTTTTGTAAAATGGTGCAGGCAGGCGTTCCCACAGGATCTAAGGCAACAAACTTTGACACCCTGTATCTCCAATAGTAAGCATTTATGAGCCTTGCGTACATTGGGACATTTGATCAGCACAACATGCAGTATCATTATATGAATTTTGTTTAAAATTGACCGGCTGTCAAATTCCACATGTTTTGTGCTTAGTACTTTCATATGTTATACAGAAAGCTATAGAAAGCCGTCTAGAACTGTAGCTGCTACAGTGTCCTTCAAAATTGACACATGAATAGGTAGTATATTTTGGTGGGTTAACTCTACAAAATAAAATCATTGTCTTTCCAATGGCAGAGTGAGAGGCTGTCAAGTAACCAATCATCAACCTATACGTGACTGACTCATGACCCCTCATTCTATTTTTATGTTGAAATCTAGGATACATGCAACCATTTTATCATCCAGAATTTCAGCTTGCCTACTTGACCGTTTCAAAAATAGTTATGGAGATCTTTCTCGAAAGCACTGTATGTTACAATATAACAGCGAATTGAAGAGTTTAAATCCAGGTTGATTTTTTCCTGATTGCGAACTTCCCGGCGAATTATATAGCACATTCCTCATGTCCTGTTAAAGAAACTCTTTCTGTATATTACCAGAACGTTCGGGGATTAAACTCCAAATGTCAAGATTTCCTTCTCAATGTAACAATATCTGATTATGACATCATTTGCTGTACTGAAACTTGGCTGCAATCAGGGGTACTCAATGTAGAGCTATTTACAGTCCAGTACTGTGTTTTTAGATCTGATAGAGACTTAGTTAACCTAGAATGTACGAGAGGAGGTGGGGCTCTAATTGCCATGAAAGACTGGTTGAATTCATCTGAAATTGATACAACTGCTGTTAAGAGTGATATCCCCTGTATAGACCTGGTAGGCGTTCAGTTTACCATTCAATATAAAACCACATACATATTTGTGGTCTACATACCACCCAATACTAGCGTTGCATGTTATGAGCGCTTATTTGAGCATCTAGAATCTTTGACATACCTCTCTGGTAATGATGTTTATTTTCTTAGGGATTTCAACATTACAGAGTTTTGTATACAGAATATCTCACCATCACGCAAATTGATGGTAGTTGACTCCTTTACAGCATATTTTAACTTCTTACAATACAATCAAATTCTTAATATTAACAATAAATTGCTTGACCTAGTATTCTCCAACAAATCATGCTTGGTGACTAGAGCATACGATGACCTATTGCCCGAAGACTCACATCATCCTCCACTTTGTATTACATTACACAGACTCTCGTAGCAAAACCTGGTCACAATCAAATGACGTTACCTTCAATTTTCGCAAAGCTGATTTTGTTACACTGTATGAACAATTGACAGTTATGGACTGGTCATTTCTTGAGGATATTGCGGATGTCAATATTGCTAATAAATATTTTCAACATGTGTATTCCGAAAACTAAGCGTACGCCTGGCAAATTTCCACCCTGGTACACTCGCGCAATCATCAAGGATATTAAACAAAAGAATTCACTAAGTACATAAATTATACAAAAAACATCATGTAGACCAAACTTAGTCTGTTTAACTCAATTCCTAGCAGGTGTTTTAGATTCTAATGGTCAGGTTGATGTGCTATATACTGATTTCAGTAAAGCGTTTGATAGAGTCGATCATGGTTTACTACTGGGAGAACTAAATAGCATTGGCTTATCCATAAATTTGGTATTATTATTTCAGTCATATTTGTCTGATCGCAAACTATATGTGGATTTTAACGGTGGTAAATCAATTCACTTTTTTCCATCTACTGGCGTCCCACAAGGATCTTCCTTAGGTCCACTACTATTCGTCATTTTTATTAATGACTTAGTTAATACGATTGACTGCAATATTCTGCTCTACGCGGACGACGTAAAACTGTACTGGCAAATTGATGATCCATCTAGTTGCTTTTATTTACAAAGGAATCTTGACAGACTGTCTGAGTGGTGTACTGCTAATAAACTTCCTATCAACGTGAGCAAATGTAAATCTTTAACTTTCACTAGGAGAGTAAATTCAATTACCAATAATAGTTATAAAATTAACAACATTCTTCTTTAGACTTTAGAGGAGTTCAGGGACCTAGGAGTAATATTTGACAGGACATTGAGCTTCAGTGCACACCTAACTAATTTAATGAATTCTGCCAATAAAGCACTGGGATTCGTTATACGCAATTCAAGAGAGTTTATCGGTACCACAGCACCTACAGTGCTGTACAATTCGTTTGTTCTTTCTAAGCTGGAATACGGAAGAATAATCTGGAACCCGTGCTATGTTACCTCATGTGACGCATTGGAAGTTCTTGAAGTATTTATCTCTCAAAACTGATGGTGTTTATCCTCCCATAGGGATTTCACAAAATAACTTACTTCAAAAGCATAGGTTTCTCAGCCTTGATGATAGAAGGAAGATACAATCTTTAGTCTTTTTGTTCAAAGTTATAAATTACCAACATGACTGTCCATCATTTTTGTCAATGCTAAATTTCAATACACCCAGAGTACGATCAAGGGCCAACCTTGCCTTTTACCTACCTACCCCACGAACGAATCTACTGCTGCACTCACCGCTGTATTCGATATGCTCATGTTATAATGACTATATGAATTATTTTGATATCTTCAACACATCCATTTTTATTATTAAGAGAGTATGTAAAGCGGTAGTTTTTTTAGAGCTACCACAGTTTGATTAAGCTATGATCAGTGGTAGCTTTTCATGGGTTCTTATTGGTAATTACTAAGCTATCAATGCTATTAGTTTATTTTGTGATTTTTATATATATGTACGGTATTTCCCACCAGTAATTGGTTTATAAACTGTTGGTGGTGTAATTAAATAAATAAATAAATAAATAAATAAATACTTACCGTATGATCGTACTAGATGAATTAGCGAATACTTCAGCATGCCCTGCTCCTATCGCCTCTATCTCTATTGGTATTTTTTCATTGGCACTTATAGTTATGATACTTTCATTAATCTTTACTACGTCTTCGTGTCGTATTATTAGTTGAAATGTGTTGTCTTGTGCATCTACATCAGGTATATCGCTGAAAAATAAATTATTTGACTTATCTTATAATGATTAGCAAATAGGAATAAAGATACTGCTTGTTTTTTTGTTGGTAAAAACAAGCGCAGTTTTTTAATGGAAAGGGATTTCCATCATCATGACATCTGGACCCTAAGATGAGATCGTCAGAATGCGGGTAGGATATCGAACGTTCTGTGATTGTAGATAGCTTCATTATTATGTTCCGGCCTCATCTCGTAAACAGAATAGGTGTAGTATTTCCTTTTCCTGCCAAACCCACAAGTTAAAAGCTCGCACGCAGCAAAGAAAAGCGGCTCACCTTCTTCCACCGCTAAACATCGTTTTACGAGTTCGCCCACCGATTTTTGCGTTTTCAGAAGTGTCGAGATGCCCAATCGTAAGAAACAAAGGACGAAGACGTTTGAGATAAAGTTAAAGCATTAAATTCAATTGCGTGGACCTGGCTTGTGATAGTCAGTTCCACACCAAGGACGAACGAGGACATTTGGGATAACGTTGCAATATTGGACTCGGTTGCTTGGATAGCAACGAGGAGCTGGCTTGTGATAGTCGTACCATTTTTAATTTATAACTGTTAAAAATTAGGTACATCTATGTGAGATTAGCATTACATTTTGCTTGTGATAGCAAATTCCACCTGGTTGGTGATAGCTATGGAACAGGTCTGTACGTATGAACATTACAGGCTAGAAAACTACCAAAGTACTAATTTTCACGAATAAAGGAGATTAGGAACCATTATGCCCAATTAGCGTTGCATTTTGTATATATGCTAGCCGCCTACACTTGAGGAGCTTTGGAGCAAAACCGAATAAGTCCACCATAAACAATTTCTAGGAAAAGACGATTTTTCTACAGCGCAAAAAGTAATAGCATTTTCAGTTGTTTTGCTACCAAATACTATTGGGGCTAACATAATTAAGCTTCCTCTGCAACCAAAATTAAGAAATATTATGATTGTCAATATTACGATAAAAACAAAAATGGATTTATTCAGTTTTGCTCAAATCTTATGGATTTATTTGGTTTTGCTAGAAACTTTATTGACAGACATTAATGACAATAATGTTTTTATTGTTTGAAAGCTTTGAATCTCCAGCAAAGCATACAAATAAACAAAAACTATTCTATAACTTAAAAGAAGTAAATTCCTAAAAAATAATTCACATATAAAAAATGATAAGCTATAAAAAATATTAGATTAATAATTTTATTAAAGTGCAAGCTACATTGTAGTGACGCTTAAATATGTAACGCAGATTCCTCCTCCAAACAGTCGCACTCATTATTTATATCTTCTTCGTCGTTATTTTGTCCTCGATTTGCACATAAAAGTTTTCTGTACCATTTCAAATTTTTTTCCCACTCTTTTCTGAATTGTTGTTCCATAAGTTGTTTCACACTTTGTATCTTTTTTGTGGAATGTTATCCCGCAACTGAACTTCTGATAGTGAAAAGTGCCCTAAGGTTTTCCCTCTTTTATAGACAGGTTTACAAACTTCTGATTGAGCTTCAAATCGGTAGTGCTGAAAGCATGCGATTGATATTTTGACTTCCCCTGTTTTTTGCACTTTTTTGTATAGAGATGCATCTTAATTCAGATATTCCAGTAATATTATTAAGGTAATTTTGAAGTTTCTTTATATCAAAAAGTTTACAATCTTTTCCTAACACTTTTACATTTCCAGCTTGTGAATAACAACTGACCTAATCTTCTTTAGACAAAATGATTGGATTTTTTCTCAACATTTTCTCCACATATCCAAAGACCCTATCCGCGGGCATAAAACTATGACCTCTCACAGGGTAAGTGATGATAACTCCGGTAACATTATCAGGAAAAAACCTTAGGAGCCAAAAAATTAAAATATGGATAATGTGGGAGTTTTTATTCTGCCCCCCACATCCATCACAAAACAATCTAATCTGAGCTGTGCCAGTTAAGTCTAATGACTTTAGGTAGTTAAACAAAGCAGACCCAATTTCTGTGGCGCCTCTCGCAGCCTGGTCTTCTGTCCAAATATAAAAAGTAGGATTTCTTGAGCTCATGTCAACACAGCAGAAACAGTAGTCTTATTTGTTGCGAATAAAAAGCATCGGAAATAGGAGTGCGTGGCTGTACCTGTTGCAGGTCGAAACAAAACGTCAAGGAATTGTCTGGCTTTTCTTTGGAAAGCTCGTAAAAAGCCTTGGCTCTTTTTATTCCAATGTTAAATTCTGTAAGAAAAACTTTTCTAAACATTGAATATTTTAGTTGGTACTGATTTTCAACTTGTTCGTTATAAATCTTTTGTAATTCGCTAATACTTAAATGAGCCGGTAAATAAATTCTTCTCGACTTTTTACGATCATAATGACTCTCGATACCTCTTAATTTGAATATGTATTCGTACACCTTTTCCCGCTTGGACAAACTTTTTCGTGAAACATGATCTCCCCCTCGGTTTTCTGTGGGACACTGCCCCAAATCAATCATTTCGCACAAAGTAAACAACCTGTAATTTTTAACGCCCACTGCTGCCATAAAAAAATCTACAAACTTTAACTGCCTTTGTTGATCTATTTCCCTTAACTTTAAAAAAAAATTGCTGCCCTTGTTCGCTGTCGAGGATTGTTCTTCACAGGTCTCTTCCTTGCAGTAGTAGAAACGCTGATTATGTGGCAAAGGTTCATATCTTGCATGGTTTTGTGCGGAACGTTATACAGTTTACTTCTTATAGCCCTAATGTCAGATATTTTGACTTTTTGGCACTAGAAAGTTTTATTATCATGTGAACACGGTCGCTTAAATTTTGTTAAATCCGGATCTGGATCTTGGTATCTATAACAAAAAGCGTCATGCAGTATAGTTTGCCGAATAAGCTACCTTCACCTAGTCTAACATTCGTACAATGTAACTTAAATAAATGAAATTACCTTCCACGTTTCCATATTGACTTTTTATTAGCTCTTTTTCTTATTCTGCTCCCATCATTGATATCACTCACGGCTGATGCGTGTCCTAGAACTTCTTCCATATTTCTCTCTTTAAACGTTTACTCTACGTCCAAAGAGCTGATGCAATGTTGGACAGGATACAACAAGATCGACAACTAGGGGTATTTTAATTCCCCTGGAGAACATATATTGCCATCTAACAGCTAGTGGCCTAAATAGAAACAGTTTACTACTCAACCCCATATTATATGGATTTATTCGCTTTTGAAGTAAACTAAACGGATTTATTTGGTTTTGCACGAAAACATGGATTCTTTCTCAGAAATTTACGAGGATATGTTCATTTTTGCTCGGTAATGTGTAGCTTATATTATGTATTTTAATAAAGTGAGTTGATATTCGCAGCTAACTCAACTTTCATAAAATGTGGATTTATTCGGTTTTGTTCCAAAGCTCCTCACTTGTAGGACACCTTTGTATCCTCCTTGATTTTCATAATTTTCTACTGTTTGGTGTCAGCGCTCTATTTTGAGGTTATGTCACAAATATCTATGTGCATCAAATTGTTCATCGTTTTGATTTATACCGTCTGTTTTATCAGCCTGAAATTTCCTACAATTAAAAAAAATACATAACTTCACAATAAGAGAGCGCTGACGCTGAGACGGAACAGTAGAAACCTAGAAGTACCCCACCCCAACCTTTCTGAAGGAGAGAAAATACTGTGAAAATCAAGAAGGCCATAAAGGCGTCCTGCAATTGTAGGAACGATTGACAATACGGCCCTAAGGTAGTAAGTGACAATACTCTCTCCTCCAGACTCAAAGAAGGGGGGGCACATGCTGGCAGATATTCACACTTAAACAAAGAACTTAGGACTACTCTAACAGAGGCTTCCTTTGATAACTTGTTCTTCGGATTAAGTCTGACCAAAGAAGTCAATTCTAAATAGAAATCAGACATGGGCAGCAACTGAAGGCCAAAACGCCGGACATCGTACTGACAACATCAGTCATCATTATTGCACATGAGGTACGTAGATCAGCAGGGACACTGTTAATCATCAATGGCAGAACTTTGGGAGTGGCGCAAAAGTCGACCGGTTCAGCACTCTATCACTGCTGAATCTCAGTAGTCCATCTAAGAACTATGACCTTCGAAACAACAGTATCTCAGTTGCTCGGCTGCGGTGCTATCAGTAAGAAAGGTGAGCTAAATAAAAATCAGAGCCTATTCAACGTTTTCTTGCCCTCAAGCCTGATGGATCAACACGTTTGATTCCTTACTTGAAGACACTTAGGGTGGATTTTACCAAAAGAGTAGCCGCTATTTTGCACCAATGGGGTAGCTGCACAATAGCCAATGAGCCTTGACATCTCTCCATCAGATTTTTGGGAACAAATAGTATTGAAGTATTGAAAACAAAACACTGTCAAAATGTGAGTTGATAGCTCATTGAAATGTCACCAGTTTATGGAATATTATGAAATTAAATAAAACTCAGCCAAAATTTAAAAAAAACGCCTGATCTATAAGCAAAAAACAGTTTTTTCAGTTTTGCTGAAGGCTTGTCCATCTTTTTTCAATTTTTGGAATCCATATGTGATTATACAAAGTTAACATCAAATACCGTGTGTTTATAGTTTATTATATAGAACATTGGCAAACTTGCACTTCCAAACCCTTACATGAAAAAGCCCTTCCACCGAAATGTTTGTTAGATGTGGCGTTCCAACAAATTCATACACTTCTTTCCAGTTTTTCAACAACACCTTGGATCGTTCCTGGTCCATAGCTATTCAAGATTTTCAACATTCATTCATGCGATTACATTTGAGAACTTTTTGGTTTTCATTGACTATGTGTAAACAGTCGCACTATCTTTATAGCAATTGAGAGGCATCGACATATTTATGGTAAATCTGTCAGCAAACCAGATTCCTGCAAAAAACTACGATTTGCAGTAACTACTCTTTTCACAAACTGCTAGAATATTCCACTACTTTCTATAAGAATATAGGTATATTCTTTAATTCACCGGTTGAGCTACTGGTGCAACCGGTTAGCCAAGTTTGCGTCCTTTAATTTCCGCTGGAACGACCGGTTGTACATCAAACTTGTCTCTATATTGATGGTGGATATGCCACCGGTGCCAACAGCATCCACCGACGTTCGGGCTCGGTTGATCAACGATATTCTAACCTCTACATTTTATCAGTTTTTGACAGCTACAGTTTTGTGTGAAAAAATGGAAGAAGAAAAAAGTTAGCAGCATAGGAGTCTCGAGAAATTTAATGTTTTTTTTTTCAACGCATTTTGAAATAAACAGAGCATCTGAAAGCAAGTCAATTTGTTTTGAATTATGCATATCGACGATCTCAAATCAATACCTCGTAATTCCGAAAATGTCGATTTTCTGATTTTGTTCAGTTTTTATTCCTGTTTAGATACAGGAATGCTCTCAGAAAATCCATATCGATGGTTCGTATTCGGGAAGCATCGACAATCTCAAATTTCTTTATCCGAATCATCACTCGAATCGCTTAACAAACGTTCCACGACAATACCAACTGCTGCATACATTTCCATAATGATTTTAAATGATACGGTGTTCAAATTAACAAGTATCCATTTACGATAAAACAAAGGTTAGGTTTTCTCATATGACAGCAACCTGAAGGCCAAAAATGCGTCTTTTTATTAAGGACCATTCAACGGAACCGGTTACTGACGTCATCACATCATCTGTCAACCACGAGTTCACCGGATCCATCAGTGATGGAATCAACCGGTGAATTAAAGAATATCCTTTATTTTTGTTTTAACACCAACAAGGAATTGACATTTGACATTAATAATGTTAGTGATGGGAGAATACAATTGCGATCAGTGGAATGTATTGTAACGGTTCAAAAATATGAATTGATTCGTTTTTAAGTTATCTCGGCAGAGCGACTGAAATACCCGCTCTGTTTCTGTATTGCTTCAAAAGGTAATTTGATTGTGGGTAAACCGGAAGGCATTAGGAAATATGCATTTATCGGTATTTTACATGTATCTAGGGGAGTTTATTTTGTAATTTGAAACAAAAAGTGTGCGGTTAAAGCACTATTGTTTTCACAAACAAATTAGAACTAATATAACCATATATACCAATATAAACACAAAAAACATGCAACAATAAAATAAGAAATGGAAAAAATAGACAAGACCAAAACGGTTTGGGCTTTGGTTTGGGTTTGGATTTTAGTTTAGGTTTTGGTTTCGTTCGGTGTCGAATGTACTCGTCATTTATATTTTTTGGTTTTGTATTGTAATTTTGACAAGTTTATCTTTCATGCTCATACCAGGGTTGGTTGATGACGTTTGACCCGAAGATGAGGTGGGTTATTAATTAACTGAAGAGCGGGGAGGAGTTAGTTGCTGTATTCTTGTGTTTCGTAAAATCCGATAGTTCGATAGAATAGGACTAAAGATTCGCATTAGCAAATAGCTATCCTATATACAAGAAAACCGGTAAATCCAAAAGCTTGCATAATTTTTCGGCGATCCATCAAACAAAACTCTGATAAAAAATATAAGTACGCAAGTTGTGAGTAATACACTGCTTCTTATCAGAAACTTGTCATTATTCAATACTACAGGTTCATCCGTTCATCGCAATATACGAGTAATATAATGTAATAAGCAGAAGTAGAATTATAACCGGATGCCTGGATTCGATCATGGTTTAATTCAAGGATATCGAACAGGCCACATCCATAGAGCCATTAAAAAAGATAACAATAAATGTTGCTAGTTACAAAGGCTGAAAAAATAAAAATTAGCTACCTTTTATACAACATATCACCCAATGAGGCTACTGAAGAATTTAAAACAATACTAAGCTGAAAATGTAAATTAACTACAAATTTCCAATCAAAACCATTACTTTCTGAAGGGTACCAGTTTACCTCAAGGTAAATATTGTCCCAAAGGTATATTTTCTTCTTCTTGTGTTCATTTTCCGTTATGCTTTCGTCTGGGATACTAAAAAAGAGGATCAATCTTCCGAAAGGACGACATCCGACAATGACAATCAATGGTACGATTTATTTATTAAAAATCTGCTGAACGACTGACGACAAAAAACAACTGTCTTACATCAAGATTGTTAGAAACCGTGTATTTATACTATGTAAGCAACTGTTTACAAGGAGTGTTCAAATTTGAAGCATTTATTTTAACAGAGAAAATGACAAATCAATAAAATCAACAATACGGTTTTCACTGGCAGGATAACGGGTTATGTGGCATTTTTGCGTAAAAGAGTTTATCGGCGAACAAGTTCCTAGAATTTGTTCGTTTTAGTGAACGCGACTTATTGAAACGAACTAGAAAGCACGTCACTATTTCAACCAATTCAATAAGGCACAATTGAAGACACAAGTGGATAATGGTGTCATGTAAAATTTCTTTAAAAATTGCTTTTTTTGCAATAAACTAACCTCAAGCAGTGAATCTTCCATTCTGTGATTACTTTGTTGCAAAAACAAAATAATAACAAACTAATTGAACTAAATATTTAAAATGTCAATAAAGTAAAAAGTCCCAATAAAAAACTGTTTGAAGTCAAATTTCTCTATTAAATGATTTGTTACATGACACATTTATCCACTTGTGTCTTCGATTGCCATTTCAATACACTAGTCATGGGAAAATCGGAAGCGTCATTTTACGTGTTATTATGGTGAATTATCCAAAAAAGTAAGAGAAAACCACGAGCAAACAGCAAGGCTGCATTCAAAGATAGAAATCAAAGCAGAAGACAACACCAGCAGCAGTTCCTTCAGGTCGTGCACGTCTTTACAACGAATGAAAAACTAGTTCAGAATGCGCACCAAAAGAATATGAATATATAAACTAGTTATTGACTATAAAATTAAGCACCAGTGCAACACTGGTTTCGCTGTTATTATTCATATCATCTCACTTCAAGTCGCCTCACATGTCAGTGCGTTCCATTTGTTAAAGTGAATTGAGATTCTCCACTTTCCCCCTCGACCCTGGAGCCTGTGGTGCTCGATACATGCTTTAGAAGGAAAATTGACTCACTTGACTGTTTTTTATGTTTATATATTTTCTGGGGATTTTCAGATTTTGGTGCAAGAATTTTCAGACCCTTGTTTGTTTCACCGATGTCAATCAAACAGTTTCATAAAAAACTTAAATCTGACTTCTACATACATGTTCTATGCATGACAGATTTAATTCTAATTTGATACCTGAGAAAAGTCACCTTACCCACTTACAGCGCGGTGAGTCATTCGATTATCTTTGTTCACCGATCAGTATGAATGAAATGTCCCATCACTATCCTAGTCGTGACTCAGTGTCCTGTGGCCATGATAGCACAGTACAGCAAAACAACA